ACACCTGCAGCCAGGCACCATGGTGCATAACTACACCCGATGCCATGGTGCAGGCTGCAGAGTCAACAGTGTCCAGGGAAGCCTGAAGAGCTATACGGGCGACAGTCCTGCCCTCTGTGGTCATAGCCACAAACTCCTGACGCGCCTCAGTGGGAAGCCTATCCTTAAACTTATCCATCGCCTGCCATGTGTTATAGGTGTATCGACTCAGCATTGCCTGCTGGTTAGCAATGAGGAGCTGCACCCCACCAGTGGCATACACCTTACGCCCCATCAGGTCGAGGCGTTTGGGCTCTCTAGCCTTCGGAGATGGCCCCGGCTGCTGAAGTTTCTCCTTCTGGTCCGCGGCTTGGACTACCAGGGACCCCTGGACAGGCTGGGAATACAGATGCTCATGCCCCAACTGCAGGACATAATAGTGCCTCTGGACTCCCTTTCAGGTAGGGGTTAAAGAAGCCGGGGTCTGCCACAGGGCGTTAGTGATCTTAGCCACAGTCTTGTTGAATGGCAAAGCCAAACGGGTTGGCGCATTGTCGGACAGGATGTCTATCATGGGGTCCGTGTCCTCCACTACTGGTTCCACTGGGACACCCAGGTTGGAAGCCAGATGCCGGAGCAGATTTTGATGCGACTAAGCATCCATAATCGGCATCACCGGTGTGGGATCTGCTAACGTTTCATCAGGAGACGAGGACGACGATGACTCCTGGAGCGGCATCGGATCCAGCATAGGGCCTGACAGAGGGGGCGGCTGGGCAGGTGGCACCATGTGCGGAAGCGGGTCCGGCACCGAAGCCTGCGGATCTCTAGCGGCATCGATAGTAACAGCCCTCTGGGGTGAGGGAAGGGGTCATGATAGTGACGCCGACGGAGAAGCCCGGTGCCTGAAGACACTTGACACCGCGGAAGGGGGCACAGGCCCTTGCCACTCGTGGTATGCCCACGGCATCCAAAAAAGTCCAATGTGGCTGAGGCGGCCAAGTCTGCTGCATGCGCGAATGGTCACACAGGTGCCGGGAACGGGATCTATGATGTGATGAAGCTCCCGAGGACTCTGACCTGAAAGAGCCCACATCAGAATCTGAAGAGTAGTCAGACTCAGGCCAGGGTGGTGCCGACGATGAGTGCCCTGCCACCATCGGAGAGGCAAACCTGGCCATAGATTCTGGCTTGCCCGCGTGCGTGCGGTGAGGGCGTACTGGTACCAGTGCCGCTGCCTGGAAGACAGGCCCCTGTGCCACATGCAGTGTCGACCCGGTGCATGTGGACTCTGGTGCCAAAGTCGGTGCCGGTTGCGGGCGTGGAACTCCCAAGTCCCATTGCCCCAAAGGCAGCACCCCTATTATCGCCCCCGTGGGCACCACAGCAGGCAGGAGGGAAGGCGCTGGAGCTCTAGTGGTTGCTGTCGAAGAGATCGGCGTTATTGGCATTGGTGGTACCGGCAAGGCCCACGGGGCCGATGCTGGTACCTGCAACGGTGCCGAAGAGCCCGGTGCCTGTGCTTGTATCGGTGCCGAAGAGCCTGGTAACGAAGAGCCCAGTGCTGAAGACTGAAGCGGCACCCCGGTCAAGAGGGTCATTGCCAGTGCCATTGACGGTGCCACAAGGCTTGAGTAATACGGTGCCGGGGCAGCCAAGACCGGTTCCGGGAGAGGTCCCAGCACCGACAGGGGTTGAGGCCAGTTGGGCACCGCATGAGGCCTGGTGGCCTGTGTCGAAGCTGGCGGTAGGAGCAAGTGGTACTGGTCCTACAGGGGACAGTTCCGCTGCATATGTGACCGGTGCCAACTGATCCAACCGGTGCGGAGGAGAAGCTGGTGCCAACATGGCTCCCGGCGTCGAAGACCTCAACCTCACCGCCTCAACCAACGACGGAGGGGAGGTAGTGAGGCTAATCAGGTCCTGCGCCGCCGCAAAAGTGTCCGGCGTCGAAGGACGATGCGAGGGTAGCTGACCTGGACTTGATGGTCATCGAGCTCTTTTACGCCGCACCGCAGCACTCAGAGACGCCTGCACTGGGGATTCAAGGCAACGGTGTAGGCCGGAGCTGGACTTCCGGCTCGGAGACCTACCCCACGAAGACCTTGACTTCTTTGGCGCCAGGGAATGAGAGCGGTGCCGAGCCCTTGGTACCAAAGTCCTCGTTCCGGCGTCGAAGGACGATGCGAGGGTAGCTGACCTGGACTTGATGGTCATCGAGCTCTTTTACGCCGCACCGCAGCACTCAGAGACGCCTGCACTGGGGATTCAAGGCAACGGTGTAGGCCGGAGCTGGACTTCCGGCTCGGAGACCTACCCCACGAAGACCTTGACTTCTTTGGCGCCAGGGAATGAGAGCGGTGCCGAGCCCTCGGTACCAAAGTCCTCGTACGGGATGGAGCGTCGCGTGTCAACGCCGGCGCACTGGCCGCCTCCAGGAGGAGAAGCTTCAAACGAGAGTCCCTCTCCCTCTTCATGCACAGCTTGAACGACCTGCAGATCTTACAGGCATCTGCTAGGTGACCCTCACCCAAACACTTTAAACAGCTATCATGAGGGTCTCCCTTGGGCATGAATTTAGCGCATACAGCGCAAGCCTTAAAGCCTTGCGGCCCAGGCATTCTTCACCCCCGAAGGGGGAGAAGGAAAAAACAAAGAACTGCCAACTATCTAACTAATTTGAACTATTTACAACTATCTACAACACTAAGAGAAACGGGAACCATTAACTACTCTAACAGAGAGACACGCTCCAATGACCGTCACGGGCGGTAAGAAGGAACTGAGGAGGGGGAGTGCCGGCAGGGGTACTTATGCTCCGCCATAGCGGCGCAACTCCAGGGGGCGCCCTGCCGGCGCTACAGGTACCGCTAGGGAAAACGCTCCGGAAGACGCGGTGCACGCGGTTCGAATGGACATGAGCAACCACTCGAAGAAGAACAGGATTTCACCCCAATCTCTGCTAAAGTCTAGGGCTTGCAAAGAGTGGGGCACATTTTGTTCAATGCATTTTCTGGGCAAGCCTGCAGTCTAAAGCACCAGTGAAGCTTGTGGTGCCATACCCACTATACCCATGCTAATTTTATCCACACAGCATGGCTAAAAATAGTAGTATGGATGGGATGGCATAGGCTTCAGCATAGGCCCTAAACGCACACTAAAGATCCAGGGGAAGCCGAAGCTGTCACATCTACAATGCCACTTTTAGCCATGCCAAAGATGGCACGGATATGGCTATCCAAGCAATAATCACCACTTGGGTGACAAGGCAGACAATACCGTAAGTGAAATAGTTAGGTAAAGACCAGAATGGCCTATCCTTCGGGAAGCACAACACTCCCATCTGGGGAGCAGGATGAAGTCTCAGATAAGAGCAGAAGCAGTAGCCAGTGTTCTCAGGGAGAAGAGAAGCCTTCTCTCAGCGGGTATGAGGAGAGACATTTTGAAAACTTTTGCTTTGCTTTACATTGCTTACATTCAACAAAGCTCTTTGCAAGTTCATTTCTGAAGCTCATCCTCTGCTTTATGCTGGAATGTTAATGAAAACCAAGCAGTCCTAATTTCTATCTATGGATAGGTTTTAAAAACTGACACAAAACACTATAGTAGCTTTTCCTACCTTGGTTTAAGTGTAATAACTACATACAGAATTTCTACAGCTCACTACTTGGGGGGAGAGGGAGGGTTAAATGCTTTCACAACTTTAGAAAACCTTATGTTTAAAACACTACATTTCAATTCTCAGAGCAACATCCACCTCTGAGGCAGCAGGAAATGTCTATGGGTGTGTCTAAATTACATGGCTCCATCGATGGAGCCATGTAGATTAGGCTGATCAGCAAAGAGAAATGAAGCTGCGATTTAAATAATCGCGGCTTCATTTAAATTTAAATGGCTGCCGCGCTGAGCCAACAAACAACTGATCAGCCGTTTGTCGGCTCAGCGCGCTAGTCTGGACACTCCCTTGCCGACATGAAAGCCCTTTATCGACCTCCCCGAGGTCAATAAAGGCCTTTCATGTTGGCAGGGGAGCGTCCAGACTAGCGCGCTGAGCTGACAAACAGCTGATTAGCTTTTTGTCAGCTCAGCGCGGCAGCCATTTAAATTTAAATGAAGCCGCGATTATTTAAATCGTGGCTTCATTTCCCTTTGCCGAACAAACAAATCTACATGGCTCCGTTGACGGAGCCATGTAGTTTAGACATACCCTATAGGACAAACTTCACGTGCTCAGATTTCATGATAGATCACTTGATGACCTCACAGTATATTTATTTACATGCGCAAACCACAATATAACAAGTTTCCGGTGCAATTCGTTAGTGTATGTACATGGATAAAATGAAAGCAATGGTTTAGGTATTTTTCAACATTTGTGATATCCTGCTTTTATCTTTCTTTCATTCTGATCCTTCCTCTGCCCATCTCTACAGCTCCTTTTGGTAGATATAATTACTCTGCAAGCCAATGTCCCAGATATACTTAGAGAAACTGAAGGCAGATGTGCTTCAACAATGAAGCAACCAAAATTATTATACAACAGCACTGGAAATATTACAAACTCTTAGATAGTTTTTAATACAAATATTAAATATAACTGTGATGTGAAAACACTGGCTGATCTCAAGGCTAAAAACTGTTACCTGCCTTTATCAGAGTCCAACATATAAAACACTCCAAAATATATACAGAAGTCTCAGTTTAAGTTGCTGCTATTGCTCTTTATTCAAGCCACTAGGTGGCAGTTCATTTATAAACAATGAATCTTATGACCTGTTTGTCACTAGCAGGCTGTATAGTTACTACAGCTGTTTTCTAGGAACACAGACATGTTGTGGAAACCATCGATTGAAGTGTTTTTGTGCTAGTGTCCCACATGAAGGATATATACAAATGATGGAGATTTAGCTTCAGATTATTAATGACAAAATATAGTCCTATGTACATGTACATTTAGAACAAGTACAGGAGCATATGCAAACACACAGTCTCAACTACCTTGTATGGTATGTCTTACTCACCCAAAATTTTACTAGGAAGAAGGCATTTTGGGGCCCTTTCCCAAACAGTTCCTTTAAACCACCTTTCTTTTCAGGAAATTTGTCATAAATCTGACGAATGTCCACCGACTCAAGCAACGGGTCACTGTAAGAATGGTTGGCATGTCCAATGTGCACAAAGAGGTGTTTGTTGTACTGAAAGAAATTAAGAAAAAGAAAAATCACTATTGTACAAGAACAGAGTTTTATTTTAGCTGAACTGTGTATCTGTGTAATCATACTAAAATTGGTAGATTAAAAATCCTGCCCTTGTTTACCTATGGCAACAATGTTATTTGCAATATGATTTCCATGAAGTAACTTTGGTGGTCTTGGCACAGTCCTTAGTGAATAAGATTCAGTATAATAAAAACAGTTCCCCTACTGTAAACCTGGATGGTTAACTGCAGGCAAGTGTTTGACAAAAATACAGAACAGCCAGCAAGGTGATAATCAGCCCATTCTGAGCACAGTAAGGTCAAGGTAATTAGGAAGAGTAGGAGGTGTCTGTATTATGCAGTTTAATGTCTTATGCACAGAGATCTTGAGTTTCTGCTAGTGCAACAGCTCCTTTATTCTTTACATTACAAATATTTCTTTCTTTAAAAAACAGTGTTCTGATATCACTTGCCTAAAACAGGGGAGTAGATTTTTTTTTAAGAAGGAACTTTTTAATAAGAAGGAATTAATAGGCCAGTTAGTTCATCTTCCTGCCAATGTCAGATTTTTTTCCTCTGGTATATTCCCCGGTGCTTTGTTGAATGCACTTTCAATTGAGTGGGAGAACTAGTTTCACACTTTCGCTGCCAGACTTTGTTACCTGATATTCAACCTAAATTTCCCCTTTCATTCCACTATTTATAGCTATCAGTGCCACTCTAAACAATTCCTCTCCCTCTCAGAATGAAATCCTGACTCCAATGAAGTCTATTGTTAACCCCACTATTGACTTTAAAGGGGCCATGATTTCATCCATGTTGTTTACAATGCTGCATATTTATCTGAGAGGATAGCATGCTGTAAAATCTGAAATGAAAAAGAAGAGGACCTACTGTTGCCTGATGCTAAGCCCATCGCAGGGAGCTCCAATCCCCACAAGACTGTGTGAGAAGATGAAAGGAGCACTGTAGTTACATAGATCACAAACAACATTTTGCTAACTCAGTTATAATGTACAGTCACTGAACAGCTAAAAATGCTGCAATATTGGTTAGATACTGGTGCAAGGTGGCAATTTCTACCTGGTAAGCAAATATTAATGTTGTAAATGAAAAGTGGACGTCTGCCTAACTATTTTGTTCACAATATATCTGCAGATAAAACAGAAAAAAACAATACTTTCACACCTAAATTAAGACATTCAGCTGGCCTATCATGCTGACTCCTATTGTCTAGTTTTTTTGTATTCCATCTATTTCCCTCTGTTGTCATTTGTCTTACATTTTTACTGCAAGGTCTTTGAAGTGGAGACTATCTTTCTGTTCTGTATTTGCACAGCAATTAGTACAGTGAGGGCTGGGTCCATGTTGAGGGCTTTGAATAAAAATAAATAATAATAACTGAATATATTTTTCCCTAAAAAATGTGTAAAATCCAGGGGAAAAGAAAGTAGACTGACTAGCTTTTTATCAGTTGTACTTGGACAAGCAAACTAGTAATCTGTTAAAAATCATCTAGTGTGGTGAAATCTGAATTTAGATCACACTCATCTGTTACAATGGACAAACAGAATTGGATAAAATATAGTCTCTACCTGAAGTTTTTTATTTGGGAGGGGGGACATAGCACTTCAGGCTTTAATAGACCTAAACATAATGGCTGTGTCTACACTGGCATGAATTTCCGGAACTGCTTAAAACGGAATACTATTCCGTTTTCAGTTTTTCCGGAAAAGGAGCGTCTACATTGGCAGGCTGCTTTTCTGGAAAAGCCCTTTTTCCGGAAAAGCGTCTGTGGCCAATGTAGACGCGCTTTTCCGGAAAAGAGCCCTGATTGCCATTTTCGCGATCGGGGCTTTTTTCCGGAAAAGACTACTGGGCTGAATACACTGGCCCTTTTCCGGAACAGTGTTCCGGAATAAGGACTTATGCCCAAGTGGGAGCAGAATAGTTTTTCTGGAATAGCGGGTGATTTTGTACAGTAGAGCATCGTTGCTTTTCTGGAAATTCAAGGGCCAGTGTAGACAGCTCGCAGCTTATTCTGGAAAAGCGGCTGATTTTCCGGAATAAGTGGCCTAGTGTAGACACAGCCAATATGTAAGATGAAAACATCAGCTTTTCCCTGGAGCGCTCTTTCAAAATAGCACCATCCTCATTTCCTCGGAGTGCAAAATTGGGGGTAGAAAACTTTTCCAACCTTTGCTCATAGATGCCCCCAAAGAAGCACAGTAGTCAGAATAGGGTGATTCTACTCTAAAAAACAAAGAACGTATGTCAGAAAAATAAACAAATGAATGCAAAGGATTGACTGACTGTATGAAAGTATCGGTAAGACCTTATCATGAGCAAGTTTAAGTCAAATACTAACCATTTACACAAGAATTACAGTAATTATTGTAGTATCCAGTTATGAATGATTATCATAACATCTACAGAGTTGCTAGATTTGCCTTTTAACTTGATAACTAAATGATTACTGAAGATGAAACAAGCTAACTATACACCCAAAATATGTGTTTCTTTTAACATTAATAGCACACTAAAAGAAAAGAATCAGGAGAAAATATGATAGCCCCGAAATTTCTTTTTTTAGAAATCAGTGTCATTTAGTTAGAGTGCAATAGGTATCAAGAGTGTCACGAGTATAGAAAACTAGAGGCCAGAGCCTACAGTCACTTACACGCTGGCTTAACTTTGTTCAGGTGTGTAGTCCCACTGACATCAAGAAATTCTCTATGCAGTATGACTATCTCTTTATTGACTCCATCAGACTACTCACATGTGCATAAACTTAAACGTGTGTAGGATCAAGCCAATAATTCCTAACACACTACTTCACTTATATGTGATCTACATATTGTTAGACACCACTGTATTATGTTGTAGCACCAAGCATATATAAAAATTAATATATGATATTGTTGGGAACATTTCTGTTCTAACTTTACCTTTTAAATGTCTGGTGATCAGGGAAAGCAAGCAAGGAAGCAAGAATACTGTACTTTAGGTAATGACTATGATCAAGATACAGTCAGCATTTAGAATTTGGGGCACATAACCGTGGGCTTAGACAAAATTTGAGTACAAGGTTCAATTGTAAACAATTGTTTGCCAGGCTGTGTGCTAGAGACTGTTTCCATGATTGATTAATTTGAAATGTAGATCAGGTGAGGAAATGAGCAACTGGTCCTTATACAATCTCCAACGCGACTGTTCCTTACATGAGCCGCACAATGTCCAAACCAATTAGATTCAACAAATATACATGTTAGCAACTAGGAAAAATGTACATAAACTGCCTAGCATGTGACATGATTGAACTGGAACTGGAATTGGTATCAGCTAGTATCTAACACCGTACATCTGGGCAACCTGGCCACATGAGCATAGAGCTGTCACATGCCTAATAAAATAACCTGAGAGATGAGCTGGAGTCAAATTGAGGTTTTTTTTTTTTTAATCTTAAGAACTGGATAAAGTGTTCTCTCAGAACTGGACCAGAGATTTGGGACAAGTCAAGTGGAAGAAGTCTTGTAAGGAATTCCAACATTACTGTCTTGCAAAATAATCAGGTAAAACATTTCTTCAGGCACTAATACATTATCTTCCAGACCACTAAAAAGTATAAATTCCTAAGCAACCAAACTGCAATCGAAGCGATGTTATGTATATTGGAATACAAAGCAGGGATGTGAATGGTTAACTGGTAAGCATCACCTTTACTGGGTAACACTTACCAGTTACAGTTAACTGGATGGGGCTGAAGAAGCCCGCTGCAGGCAGCCTGGTGGAGTCCACCACTGGTGCTTCAGCTCGGGCAGAGCAGCCCCCACGGGGCTGGAGCAATCCTCATCCATCACTAGCCCATCCTGGAAAGAGCAGTCCCCATCCATGGTGTGGAGGTGGGGAGCCGCTCCAGTCCAGGTAGACTAGAGCAGCCTCCCTCCATTTAAGCAGTTAACTGATTAAACATAACATTTAACTGTAAACTGATTAAGCGAGATTTTATATCCCTAATACAGAGCAGATCACAGAGCCTTTATACTGCTTAAATATGAAAGCAAAGTTAAATGCAACTGTAAAGTTACTACAATTGCTTGCAGATCTTGCCAAAGTACCAGATGCTGCTGTAGCAAAAATTCTGACAGGATACAGTGGGACAGAAGGTATGACATCACCTGACAATATTCTTAGAACATAAATGTTTAATTTGTCATTGCCCATGTGATTATTTTCTGCTTATGGTGTTGTAATTCCTATATGAAATAGAATAATTAATAATCTAATTGAATAAGGCATATTTTTACAGGCTCATAAGTAACACCACAATATTAGCACAAGACAAATTTGTATTCAAGTACCCGAAAAATTTTATATGGGCAGTCTCCATGAAAATAATGTGTGTATATATGAAAGCTAT